TGGGTGGGATCGAAAGAGGAGGTCTCCCCCACCACTGTACCATAAAAAATTAGATTAGATGGGGGTGGGGGTAGGGGGGATAGAAAGAGGGTAGTCACCTGAGTAAAAACCTATAAAAAAATTGCGACGGTCTCACCCCATAGAAAGTTATGGGGGTTGAAAGTTGATTATTTTGACAATTTTCATACACTATAATTCAAATAAAATTCAATAAAAAAATTATTTTCAAGCGGGTGGAGGTGGGGGATCGAAAGAGGGTGGTCACTTGAACAAAACCCGATAACCTAACCTAACCTAACCTACCCTATTGATAAAGATATTTAAATAATGTTTTATATAACTCAATATTTTTATGTATTTTTTATTAGTTTTAGTTTTGAATATTGTTTCAGAATTGGCATATTTATTAACTTTGAACCCCCATAGCTTCTTATGAGGTTGAGACCGCCACGAACTTTTTATGGCACAGTGGCGGGGGAGACCTCCTCTTTTGATCCCCCCCCTGAAGGGGGTGGGGGCCATCATATACACCTTTACCAATTTATTATTGAAGACAGTTATTGTTATTGGAAACAAAAATTTTTAAGTTTAAGACAGACCCAGATCAAGATTAAAACTATTCGAAATAGACCAAGGCTGAAACAGTTTTGATCTTGGTCCTTTATTAAAATATTGATATTTTCAGATAGACGCCGTTAAAAAAACATTAACCTCGACTGAAACGATCGGCTGTGTCTGATACCAAGCTAGCAACAAATCATTCGATTTTCCGGGATAAGTAGTCTCTACAAAATTAATTCTTTTACTACGATTGTGATGAAAATTAGTATCCGAGATTAGTTGAAACGAATATAGTTCTAGCATGATATCGCGTGAGCCAATTTCTCGAGATCTACAGGTTTTAGAAAATTACGTCTTTCGCACAAATTAGCCACAAATAACTCATATATTAAGATAGAAGGGTTAAATATGTGATCTGCTAGCGTGATACACATTCACCTTTAATCGTTTACTTATCAAAATTTCAATTACATGCATCTAATGTATGTGTAAATGTATGATCTGTATACATATTATACGTATACTACATATACGAGGGTGGATTGATAAGTTTCCGGCCTAACCAAGAGATGACGCCACTAGGCCTACCTTGAGGTGAGAATCTCTTGCACAAATCGCCGATAACGTTAAGCTATAGTTTCAGCCCGATCTCCTTGCTAGTGTAGGTTTGACAGCACGCTGAACAAGACGCCTCTGTGGTTTTCGTAAAAATGGAAAAGCAGGAAAATCGTGCTGTCATCAAATACTTTTATTTGAAGGGGTTAACGCCGAAGGAAATTAAAAAAG